ACAACCCGAATCGAATTAAAACCGCTCAAGAATAAACCGAAACCGAATCGAACCGATAACTATTTAAACCGAACTGAAACCGACCCGTGATACATTTAAACCGATTTCAAACCGACCCGATTTAATACCGAACCGATTTCAATCCGAACCGAACCCGAACTGTCAAACCGTTTTGACAGTGCTACTCTCAATAATAGTCATGTTTGACAATTAGCTTTTAGTCATTAGCTGCTTTGGTCATTTGTTAGATATTTACATTCGAGAAAAACCTTTCATAATTTTAAATCACAATACATTATTCTTAATCAAATTAACAGAATAATAGTATAAAAATCAAAATATTTATTAAACGACATATGTAAGTAATGTAACCACTAATTTCATTAGAGAGTACATCCATAGCTCCAAAGATTTTATTCCTTTTTAGTAAAAAATTTCCAAAAATGAGTACTTTTAGAATTTAGCTGGTTTTTCATAATCTTCCCAAGTTAGCTTACGTTAGATAGAGTATTGTACGTAAGTTTAATCTCCCACCAAAAAAAACTTATAGTAAAGTATGTAATGAAAGAGAAAATATCTTGGTAGGTTAAAGCCAATAACACAATGACATATATATTCATATTGTCTCATATAATCATATTCCCATGTCCCATCAACATCTAATAAAATAGTTAGTTTATCACAGCATTAAAGATGCGATGTGAATATTCTATAGATTATGGTAATACATAAATAATAATCAATGAATTAGTTATACACAACAATTTGAGGTATCTGTCCATCACTTGATTTTGGCCATTAGCCTATATCATGATACAATACAATATGCTGTGTGATCTATAACAGAAATGAAATGGTTGGTTCAAATAAATTGGTCCCATTACTCCCATATATATCACCATAACTTCTATTTTACGGTCCATGTATCGCGAATCTTTTGTTTTGATTCCATTTTTGTTCTGCTGGTATTCGTCTCGATTGTCAATAAGCTTAGGATCTTTAATTATTAATTGTAATTGGATAGTTTATTTTTTTTATTTTATATTTTATTCATGTTGTGTATGTGTAAGATGTCTCATATTACAAATTAAAATGAGACCAAAAAACAAACCGTTTTAATAAATTGGTCAGATTATGCAACTATTCTAACTTTTATATAGTGTTTGATAGATTTTGTGAATAACAACACGAGAACAAAATGAAATACGACCATTGTCGGCTCTATTTTAGCATGTTTATCATGCATGATATGACTCGAACAGTACAGAAAGCGCATGTTCAGTTCAACTCTTATGGAATATATGTTATGGTAAAACCAAGTGAAAGGCTCGAGATTGTGAAGTTGTTCTTGATCAAGAGATTTCCTGAAAGTGGTTGCAAAAAAAATAAAATAAAAAAAATGTCAGTTTCTGAATTGAGGAAATGTCTAGCAATAGCTAGGGATTCATTTGGCAGTGCTACAACTTGCCACTGTAGTCTGTCATTGTCAAGGACTAAAGATAATCCAGGGATGATGTTCATGCCATGGCTCGATTATGATGCAGACACTAACAGAAGGGGGTATAGGGTTTTTTAGTGGTTTGATGAAAGACATACTGACTGGTAGATAGATGTGATATTATGGTTGTTTGGAAGATAAAAAGATGTTAAGTGTTGATGTTGAGCCCCTCAAAGGTGAAGATGAATGTAGCAAAGGAGTATGCAAGGAAGATGTAGACAGAGTATTTGATGCTGAAAGAAAAATGGAAGGGTTTTTGTAGGGTTCAAGTGTGAAGTGTGGGTGTTAATTGCATTAGTAGCAGTGTGTGTTGGTGTTTTTTGATTAACAAAGTTGTCAATTAAGGAGTAGTTGTAATAATAATGCTACTTTATGTATTTAAGTTCTATGAATGAATAAGAAATTGTTTTATCTAATTTATCTCTTAATGTTTCTTCTTTAATTGATATGTCCATTTGTTTGGCTCTAGCTTTATTCTGCAATGCTTCTGTTGACATAGTTTGCTATTGTTGAGAGTTATGTTCAAACTGGGATTGTGACAGAGGGTACTCTTGCGAGAAACAATAAATGGTTTATTCCTCTTCAAAGTCTCTAAGCCGAGGAAAAACGTGAAGTTGCAACACGTCAAACATGGACGACACTGGGCGAAGTTCATCATGGTCGGCCAATGTACGTTTATTCTAAGTAATAAAAACCAACAGTGAGCATAAAACCAATTTCAAACTCAAACTACAACATCCCCTGTTTTTTACGCTACTTCAAACGAAGTTCTAATGTTTCATTTCAACAAGGAAGTAGAAATTTCAACAAATTTTAATAATCTAATCTCGAAAGCAAACTAACACCTTCTTTACTTATAACAAACAAAAGATTTAACATAAAAAAATCAACTGATCATCATAAAACCCTAAACCCTAACATTACCAGAAAAATTTCACACAATTTCGGGAAAAAAAACCATAGTAAAAGAGTAATGTACCTAACAAATTAATGGAAATCAAGTCGAAATCACACCTCGGACTGATGAATCGCCTTCCTTAAAGCTCCGAAAATGGCAGGGTTTCTTTTGGAACAAGGGAGAAGAAATGAAAGGGCGCCAACCTTTTTTGGTAGAAATGATTTTTTTATTGCTCACTTTAACGTACATCAGTCATTTTGTGCGCTCCCAAGTAGTTTAACCATTGTTTAACTTCACCAAGATTAATTTTCACTCAATTAACATAACTCTTCGTTCCTGCCTTTTTATTATTTGTCCAAGTGTCCCACTAAGGGCATGTTCATTTCAGCTTAATTTCAGTTTAGTTCAGTTCAGTTCAGTTCAGCTCCAATCATTCATTTTAGTTCAGCTCCTAATTTTCTTCTCTCATAAAATATTTATTTCAGCTCTATTCAGTTCAATTCAGTTCAACTCCAATCAGTTTAGTTTAGTTCAGCTCATTTTAGTAAATGTGAACAGATCCTAATTTCTTAATGTTTACCTCGTTAGTGTAGCGTACGCAAGAAGCTTCCCAATTAATTATTCCCATTGCCCTGTCATTGTTGCAGGTCCCTAATGTGTCAAAATATTCCGCCATGTTAACATGTTAGTCCCTTATATTTGGCACAATTAGCAAAATGACCACTCAAAGTGGTGATTGAGTCATTAAGGGACTAAATTAAGTCTAAAACCAAACAAGTCAAACGTGGAGACTAAAATCAAATTTCGACCAAATATTAGGGTTCATTCTTACCCTTAAGCCTTATTTCCTCCGTACGAAATATCAATTTTACGTTTGTCAAAAACTTTTTTTTGCTTCTCTCCAATTCCCTCGTTCCTAACAATTCAAAAAAAAAAAGAAAAGAAAAAAAAAATTCTCTCTACTCTTTTGGCTATGGAAATCTCCAGAACATCTACGCACGGTGGGAACTTATACAATCACAATCGTATGTTTCTCAAAATAGATTATTTTGATGTTTTTCTGTTTGTATAACTCAAATATCTAGATTCATTTAGATTTTTATTTTTATTTTTTTATGTTTTTGTTTTTAGTATTATTGCTATGGTTAAATAAGACCCAAAGTTCGGTTATTTCATCACGTAATTTGTTAATTTATAAAATAATTTAATATAATTTTTTATGTTATTTACACTCACTTAAAGAAAATGATAATGTAAATATTTAGGGGTGAATTTCCACCATTTTATTACCTAGGGAGGGTACGTAGGTAATAAATAGATGAGAATGAGAATAGGAACAACATTTTTACCATTAATAAAAAAAAAATGTTTTTTTTTTGGGTGAAGAAGAGGGGCAAGCCCAGCTATGCTAATTGCAAATAGCATATACTACACAAAGGCAGGGACTCCAGCAAACATGAAATATTCTCTTCTTAAGCACTAGCAACTCGTAAGGTAAGCGAATAAATGGGGATAATAATCACTTTAAATGATGAGTGCTAAGTGAAAGTGATTAGACTTCAGTAACAAAAATAGACCACCTCATTTTCATTCCCCCGTTTATATCGCCAATCAAACGAGCCAGAAAAGCTTGCCCATTGCAGATAAATACACAAAACTATATTCCTCAGCAATCAAAAACATTTCCCACATCGTAGGTAGTTTTATGTTATTTGAGAAGAGGGGAGGGCACATATCTCCACAAGGAATCACGGTAGCCGAAAAAGTTAAAAGTCAAGTAACTTTAAAACATATAATCCACAAGCAAGGCAGGAAAAAAAAGAAGCAGAACTTAACATAGCCTTAAGCAAGGTACAAAATGACACCACTCAAACAAAATCTTCCATCGTAAATCTCACTAGTCTGAAAATTAGGTCTTAATCCCTGGATCCTACTAGAGCTTGACAAAACAAGCTAACCTTTAAATCTCAAAAGGACCGAAAGGTCAATAACATAACATCTTCAAATGTACCCTATCGCGCAAAATAACAATTTAGACCAAGGTAGATCCTAAGCAGGTAAAGGATGAGAAGATAGGTATGGACTAAGGATTATAGAATAGTTTGGAGTATGTTCAACGGAGTTGGGAGAAAGAGCAAGAGAGACGACATAAAGCAACTGTTATCAGCTGCTTGGAACACACCACAGATAAGATAGTCTACCCCAAGTACTGGAGACAATTTCCCAATTGCAAAACCAAAAACAGAGGTCTAATCCTTCTAGATTCTAAATACGAACTTCAGGCTTTTGTCACAGGAATTTACAGTTGTCTACAATCCCACTTACCTTCATCATATTATTGACCCACAGGCCACAACCCTAATGTAGAACATATACACACTCTAAAGCTTGTATTGGATCTCTTATAGCTGTAGATAAACCTACCACTTTCATTACACTTCACAGTAAAGCTATATAATCTTAAAGTAACAGAACTTTTCTATTAATTCTAATAGACATCATGTCTAAAACAATTGCTGCACCCCTCTTTAAAAACATAAAAGAACATAAACCAACTTTCAGGTGACTAAACCAGCAAAATAAATAAGCCAAAATGTTAATAAATTTGCAAGAGCAACCTACAATTAAATAAGTATGACTGTCGAATAAATAGCACAAAGTCGAATTAATGGCAAAAAGAGTAAAGGTAAATGATGGCAGCAATGAGATAAATGCCGGAAGCATAGCACTGATTAAACTATCAATACCTTACCCAACTACAGGAATTATGATCTGGGTATTAAAGTGCAATGACAACTAAAGGGAAAACACTCAGCACTAAGTTTTGGGAAACAAATAGGAAGATGGAAAAATTATCAACTCAAACCCTATGAAAAGTTACAGCGGTAAACGTTTTCGAACAGTTGAATAACAGTGCAGAACAAACTAAGACAAATCAAGGCATACTGTGGCTACATAGGTTCAGTGGACTGGAAACATAGAAAGAGCTTGGTAAATTTGGTATCATGGACATGGCAAGTTTGATATTGTAGTTCTCCAAATAAATTGGTCTCCTGGACAAAAGCATCAAGGTTGGCCAAATGTTTGTCAAACGCTTTAGATCTGGTCTTCTGGTTTAAGCAGGAGGCTTCGTCAAAGGAGGCAGGAAGCTAGCTTCAGGGCTTCAAAGTTTCAGCTGTTTTAACGGGAATGGAAAGGAAGACATGGAAAACATGAGTATCACAACTCTATACAGGGATTCAGCCTAGGTTAAGCAAAGTTTTCCCTACTCTAGATTACCAGAGATTAGAGATACAAAGTATGATTTTGGATAACATAACCCAGGGAACCAGTTACCTGAAGATACCTCTTTGCTAATCTTAATAATATTGTCTTCTTCTGGAGCCTGGAGCCTGACCAGATAACCCTGAACTACTAAGGTATTATTGTAAACTTATTATTTATTGATTTATTATTTATGTATTCCCACTTACTATTTACACCAATGTCCATTACCTCTTTTTTATGTTATATGCCTATATTATACTTCATATTATTTATACTTCCTCCGTTCTTTATTACTTGACCCGTTTTGACTTTTACACTATTCACCACCTCTCCTTTGACCGTCTTTTGTGAATAATATATAAGAAAAAATATATTCATGTATGATTTTTTTGGATCCGTCTCAATAAGTATTATCATAATATATAACTTTTATAATTTTTACTTGTGGAGAATTTAAGTTATATATATATATATATATATATATATATCGCTAAGCATATAAAAACAAATCGATTTGCATGTAACTTTTTGTTGACGCAAGCTCAGGTAGCTCGAGAATAATAATAATAATGTGTCATTATAAAGTTACAACTTACAAGGGATGTGGGTGCTCTAAGCCCTATATGACTATGCATTCTTAAGCATGAACCATTGAAAATCACTGTGCAAGTCACTTTAACCACCCAGTCACACTCACAATTGTACTACCACCATTCATGAATCATATGATTGGGCCTGAGCTGCCCATGGCCCAAGTGAATGACACTTTGATTCTTGGGCCCCCATATTGACAATGCTCTCGAGAAACGTTGTATGGATCTTCAATTTGATGCGTTTAGCAACCCCGCTTTTTTTTTTCCTTCTAATGATTCGAGGTCAATAGGTCATTAGTTTAGTTTTTGTCTACTCTAATTTGATTTGATCTATCTATAAATTATACCTTTGGTCTTATTTTTATGTGTTGATCATAAATAAAATAAATTATCAAATAAAATATATTCAGATTCTTATTAATGTGTGTTTTTTAAACAAAACATTCATAATTTTATTTATTATGAATTAAAACTATTTTCTCCACATATATCTCCTTGTTTTGTCCGAAATTATTTGCCATATGCTTCGTGTCTATTCTCTTCAGTTTATTTTCAGTTCATTTCTTTTCAATTAAGCTCCAATCAGTTTAGTTCAGTTCATTTCCTAATTTCCTTCTCTCATAAACAATTTATTTCTATTCAGTTCAGCTCCAATTAGTTCAATTCAGTAAATTATAACAAACCCTTAGTATGAACTACTTATTAAATACACTATACATACTCCCCAAGTAGTCACACACTCACACTTAACTACTTGAGGTATCTCTACCAAGATAAACTTGGTGTAGTGGTAAGGATGTACATTTCTTGAGGTTGAGGTTTCAATCCCACTAGAGACACGTTGAGGGTGAGTATCTTAATACTTCCCCTTCACTTTTAAAGTGTCTGACCCGTAAATACTGGACAAAAAAAACCATGAGGGTTGATGTTCAAACAAAGTCATTCTCCTTATTATTTATATATTTTTTAAAATTATTATTATTTTTTATCTTAAGATTAAAGGAAAACAAAAAGACCAAAAGAAAAACAAACAAACAAAAAAGTGTCTCTTTATTAATGATTACATACAGTACAAACACTAATCCATTACAAAGGGTTGCCGCGTGTAAGGTTTTATCTGGCAACAAATGTGGGTTAGTGTCTGGAAAATGGCCACTCTCATACAGTCATACTTGTATTTTTTTTTCTTCCAAGAAGATCGAATGAATTGAGATTGACAAGAAAAAACAAAGTATCCAATTCTTTCCCACACACTACATAACTAGAGATGGTACGATATTCATTTTACTTTGCTTTGTCTCCAGGTAAAGTGATCTACGTTTGTTTTAATATCTTAATTTTCTTTATTAATTTGTTTTTTTGGAAACACATGAATGTATATGTTCACTGGGGCTTGTTTAGTATAACTGGGGTATTAAATTTGAAAGATTTTAATTTCAAATATCTTTTAAGAAATTATTATCATTTGTTAATAAATGAAAGTGAACATTGGAACTTAAAACCATACTAGATATAATATGAGCAATTAGACATTCACAAAGTACTGAAGTAGTCATATAAGCAAAGTTGTATTATTCAAAGCTACTATAGACTTTGTTAAAAAAAAAATAAAAAAAAATAAAAACTTTAGACATTTTTATACCTAACATTTAAGATAAAAACTTAAACTACAAGCATTACAAGTACGAATTACGTTTCATCCTCCAACCCCCCCCCCCTTTTTTCAATACTAAACTAATATACATTTGATGATAACTCTTTTATATTCCCCGTAATTTAAATTTTATATCGAGTATGTTTCAACATTCACTCTCCCTCTCCCTAAATTTTTAACTTATTTCTCATTGAAAAAAATTATAATGAAAAAACACATTGTATTCCACCTTTTTTTAATATTAACAACTCCTGTGTTATACAAGTCAAAAGACTAGTTTAGATGATATATAATTTGACTACCTAATTAAGATAGACGATTAGACAAGTAACATAAATAATACTGTGCTAAGAATCAATGGCGGATCCTCGTCAAAAAATTAGGTGGTGCAAGGTTTGATCCCCTAGCCTTTTGTTAAAAAATAACAATACTTAACCACTATGCCACAACTTTCTATATGCAACAAATAGACATCAAATTACTTATAATGAACAATTTAAAAATACTTTGATTGGTTAAATAAAGGTCCACCCCTAAATGTATTTCTTCTAGCATTTTATATGAAAAAAAAACTTTGATTGGTTAAAAAAGTTGCGCATACGGAGTAAAAAATTATCCGCTTTAGCAATTATGACCGTAGGAGCTCATACTACATTGAGTTATTGACACAGTCTAATATATTATGTACCATCAAAACCAACTAATGTTTTCAAAGCAGTGACTTGTGAAAACTAATCTCTTGGACAAGTAGACAACATACAACATACAACAAACAAACACCTTGTTTGGTATAAAAAGGGAAAGTTAAAGAATCAAGCAAAACAAAAAGAGGTGGCAATGGAGTAACTTCTCCAACAATAAAAACTACCTTTGCTAAAACTGGAATACACCCTCTAAATTAACTAACAACACAAACCCAAAAGCAGAATATTTCTTTTTTTTAATAATCAACATTTTTTTTTTAATCCTAAATTAATTCACATAATCACGTTCGTACATTCTCGCTTCTTCACACCTTCTTTTGGATTCTTCCCTTTTCTCTCTCCTAAATGCTCACCACCTGTTCGATAAAATGTCTCAATGAACAAACACATCATTAAAATTAAACCCCATCAAATTCTCAGCATATTTTACCAAACTGATCAAAACCCATTTATTTTCAGCTAAAAAATGGGTTTTGTTTTAGGAATTGTTCTTGGTGTTGCTTCTGGTATTGGATTGATCATGGCTATGGTGTATTATGAGAACATACGCGCCAAACGCCGCACCGATTTGGTCTCTTTCTCCCTCCTACCTATCTTAATGCAATCAAATTCAATTTATAATCTGTTTTTGTTGCCAAAGATCAAATTTTTGTTGTTGTTGTTTGATGGGTTTATGTTGTTGTGCATTAAAATTTTGATTATTGTTGCTTAAGGCTGCAACAGTGGCTGCTTTCTCTAGGATGACAGTGGAGGATGCTAGGAAGATATTCACACCTGAGCAATACCCACCATGGGTTATCTTTCCTCAAATGGAAAAGGTGGTTTAGATTGTTGCAATCTTCTTGTTTTGGAGAATTGAACATGCTTAAAATGGCAACAAATGAAATAATATTGGGTTCTGTTAAATTGCAGCTAAAATGGCTTAATACTCAGTTAGAGAAACTATGGCCTTATATTAATGAAGTAAGTTATTTCATCTTGCAATCATTGAAATTGGCCATAAAAGACTCATAACTATGTATTGTGATTGATTTGGAAATAATTGTGTGAGTTTTGGCTGTTTAATTAGGCAGCATCAGAGCTGATTAGGAGCACGGTGGAACCGATTCTTGAGCAATATAGACCTGTCATATTAGCCTCCATGACATTTAAGAAGCTGACTCTTGGAACTGTGGCCCCTCAGTTTACAGGTCAGTGTGCTGATTGTGAGTTTCTGAAACATCGGGTGCTGAATCGAAATTGGTATACAAAGTATTTTGTCTCTTGATGAAAGTTTTTGTGGCATAAATTGGAGAATGTAATTGATTTTTGTTTATATTGTACACGTTTATTTAGTGAGGTAGTTATATTTTCTATCACTTGATGTGGTGTTTATTGAGAAGCAGTTGATTTGACACTTTGGAAAATTTAGCAATTAGCTGAAATTGAACCATTTTCAACTTTATTCAAGGATATATGAGATTTGTTTCTTCTTTAAATGATCATTATATTACTTTCTCTAGTGTTCTACCCACCAGAGGTTATGTCAGCTATGAGAATGATGATTAGCAATTGCCTGTAAGCTCTTAAATGCTGGAAGCTCTTGATATCGGAAATATTAGAACAAGTCAACAGTGTTTTGACATTCAAGATATAATTCATGAACCATTATATGCTTCTTTGATTTATTATCATGTCCAATAAAGTAGATGCTGTTTAGCTTCTCTTGGCCCTAATTGTGGTCCTGATCATGATCAATGTTTTTCATGGTTGGGTGTTGAATGGTGATGTCTTGGCAGCACTCTTAATTAGAGTGCCTAAGCAGTATAATGCAAGCTCTGTTGCACAGTTGCCTATATTTTAGGCTATGTGTGAGCTCAGTTTAATGGTTGAACTTCAGATCCTTTTAGTGTCAATATTTTAGGTTGTTACTAGGTAATATGTAGGGGTGAGCAAGACCGGGTACCCGGTCATATTTGTAATACCCGGATCCGGAACCGGTTATAACCGGGTCCCAAGAATTGGAACTGGTCCCGGAACCGGTTAATACCGGATCCAAATTTTTTGGAACTGGTCCCGGACCCGGTAGGAACCGGTTCCAAAACCGGGTACCCGGTATTATTCAACGTAGTAAAATACTGTTTTTTTCTTTATAATTGTTATATAATATATTATTATATATAATGGAATTTTGCAGGCTAGTTATATTAACATAATAATATCCCTAAATTAGTTTTGGAGGCTAGCAAAATACAAATATTTCAAAATACAAATATTACAAACTAATAAGCCAAAAAGTACCAATTCAACAACCTAAAATATCAGTACAACAAACTTCAACAATGCTGCAAAGTCCAAACATCCAAACATAACCAAAACAACTACTTAAATAAAAGTTCAGAAAAAAAAAGGGAAGAAAAGGAAGGGCAGCAACAGGCAGCACTGCAGCAGCTGAGCACACCATCAGCAGGCAGCAGCTGAGCACACCATCAGCCAGCAACAAGACCAGCAGCAAGTCAGCAACCATCTAAGCAACGGAGAAAGACAGCATACAGCAGACAACAAAGCAAAGAGGCAGCAGCCAACAAGGAAGCACAAATTCCCTATAAACAAAAGCCAAAATGTCCTTAGAATATTTGTCATTTGATATCTTTTCATACAATATAATTAAGAATACAATTATACAAACCTTTGTCACATCAATTATTTCCAACAAATTCATTAACTTGTGTGATGCCAGTGTCACTACCATCCAATTCTAAAAAAAACAGTAAACAATATAAGTAATAAACTTAGAGAAATAAAATAGATAAATATACAAAATAATAGAAGTATTAGTGTATTACCTTCTTCATATTTTTGAACATCCTCAAGGAAGCGCTCAATATCAATGCATACATTTGACGCCCTTAACCAATCTTGAGTACAAACTAAAGCTTCCACCATATTTGGCCCCAAACTACTACGAAATTGATCAAGTATGCGACCCGATGTACTAAATGCGGATTCACTAGAAACCGTAGAAATTGGTATAGCCAAAATGTCCTTAGCCAATGTTGACAATACTTTGTATTTGTCACTTTTTTCTTTCCACCAACCCAAAATATCAAACATTTCCCCTTCAACCCTTCTCTCCCGAGCTTCTTCAAGATAATAATCCAATTCACTTTTTTCAACAATAAAATCACTTTCTTCCTCATCAAAATCATCATAAAACTTTTTCATTTGCTCACTATTTGAAGAGCTCAAGTTTTCAGAACCATTATCCACATTGGCAACATTAATATTACGATTATTCTTGGAAGAGGAAGAAGCAATAATAGCATCATAATGGTTAAATAACTTCTGAACATTGTCATACAAATTGTCACAAATAACATCGACTTTGGCAAAGTCGTTAGGATAAAGTTTTTTAAAAGAATACTTCAAAAACCTAAGCTTATATCGAGGATCTAAAACAACCGCAACTAACATCATGATATTAGTTTTACCGAGATCCCCATAATACTTATCAAACTTTTCCCTCATTTGTCTACCCATAATACGAATATCCATATTTGTAGAGTTTTCCCATTCTATCAAACAACTTAACACCTCCAAAACCTCGTGAAAATACAAGTTTGTAGTAACATATAAACTACCCGACATTTTCTTTGTAGACTCATAAAATAATTTCAAACACAAAGACAACACTTTAGCATTTACCCAATCTTCTTGTGTAGGTACTCCATCCTTGAGTTCCCTACTAAAATCAGGATCATCTTCCGCAAACCTATTAAAAGCTTTTTCAAATTTCAATGCGGTTTCAAGCATGAGAAAGGTAGAATTCCATCTAGTTGCCACATCAAGACAAACTGAACCTTTACAAGAAACTTTAACCAACATAGAAGAGTGTGCAAACAATTTAGCTCTAGAAGGTGAACTCCTCACATATCTAACAGCAGCACGAATTCGAGCAATCGAAGACTTCACACTAGATAAACCATCTTTCACAATCAAATTTAGAACATGACAAGCACATCTCATATGAAAAAATGAACCCTCCAAAACAAGTTTATCATGAAAATGTGTTTTCAAATATCCAACCGCCACATCATTTGAACTAGCATTATCAACAGTTAAAGAAAACAATCGATCCTCAATCTCCCATTTAAGAATACATGCCTCCACAACTTTTCCAATTTCCTTACCTTTATGACTATCCATTAATTGAAAATTTAAAATTCTTTTATGCAACTTCCAATCATCATCAATAAAATGAGCAGTCAAACAAAGATAATTAAAATTTTGAATGGAGGTCCAACAATCAGTTGTTAGTGACACTCTCGATTTCAAACACCCAATTAATTTCTTTAATTTTCCACTTTCACAAACAAATATATTCTTCACATCTCTTGCAACTGTAAAACGTGAAGGTATATGAAATTGAGGTACAGCAACACTACAAAAATACCTAAAACCTTCACGCTCAACAATAGAAAATGGTTGTTCATCAACAATAACCATTCTTGCCAAACCAAGTCTACAAGCAGTTTCATCAAATTTCCAATTAGAGACTATAGTAGCATCAGATTCAGGAGACTTGTAAACAGAAATGAGTTTTTGCTTTTTGTCTACATTTGGAGGGTATTTTGAACATGCACCAAGGTGTTTCTTTAATGAAGAAGTTCCATTATTAGTATTACCTGTTAGCATTTTCTCACAATATTTGCATTTGACTTGAACAATTTTTTTGGTTACTGGATCTCTAAAATCCCAAAAATGGTTCCAGTATTCAGACTTCCTCTTGTCACCAACCTTGGTTGATTTGGTTGTTGCATTCTCGTTTCCAACCTCACTTTCATCATCCATAGGGACTGACGAATTGTCGGTATTGCTCATAGTTCTGAAATAGGAACAAATTAAACTTTAATAAGACATAAACATTACACAAAGTGAGAGTGATTATATGCATTACACAAATACATACAACAGTCAGAACTGATATTGTCTCACTCACATAAACACAAAGAAAGAAAGGAGAGACAATATGCACAGATCCTAGTACATCATCTTCATGAAGAATACAAAAAGGAATTGGAACTTAATAAAGAAAAAATGGTAATTAATCTTATGAAAAGAAGGTTCCTTTAGTTGTTGAAACACTTTCTCCTCTATAAAAACCTTTTAAACAAGCAGAATTCTACATAGAAATCCAACTGTAGTTCCTGCACATGCATCACCATCTACATCTTTCTCCACAACTACAAATTTCAGAAAAGACCAGCTCAATAAAACAAGAAATAGCTTAAACCCATAAACTAAATCAATTCATGAAACTTGACACCAACACAACAGCAATGCAAAGAAGCAGAACAACATCAATACATTAAACCTTGAGACTAAACAGATCAAGACACTTGACACAATGACAACATCACAACATATCAAAGTAAAACCTAGAAACTGAAAGATCAGTAATTCAATAGATTACGCAATAAAAATGCCTAAAAAATAGCAAAATAAACAGAATAAAAACCATTAAACTTGCGAAATCTGAGAATAAACGATTAAACCCATTAAAGTATTAAACCCCACGATTCTTCTTCGATAATATGATTTTTATAAAAAAAAAACATAAGTTAAAACGAAAGGGAAGAAGCACAATCAACACAATCGAGTTTATATTCACCCAAAATACTAGAGAATTCAAGGGAAGGAACAAATCTGAATGTTTAACTAATTTGTACTTGTAATTTGTAATTTTATCATGATTCAAACTCATCTTTAATAGTAATTTTCATAATTAACACTATTCATGATTAAAACCCTAAAAATTAGCTTTCGTTTTTCAGATCTAAACCGAATAAATACATAATCGCAAATTCGCAATTGATAATTTGATATGCAAAGTTTAAAAATTACCTTTGGAGGAATTAAGAAGTGAACGCTCGACGGTGAACGGTGGTCGACACTCGACAGTCAAGAGGAGAGCGAGAGTGTGAGAGTGGTGAGTACCACTGTAGCAGAGAAGCAGAGTAGGGTGAGAAAGTGAGAGGATAGAATAGGGTTTTTTTTTTTTTTGCTTTATATACTTAGGGTAAAATCTGGAATATTGGGCCATAATTGTTGGGTTTTTTAAAAAAACAAAAAAAATTTTTATAACTAAATCAGTACCGGTTCCGGGTACCCGGATTGTCTGGATCCGGGACCGGGTACCCGGAACTGGAATTGGTTTAAACCGGGTACCCAGTGGGTACCGGGTCCGAAATTTTAGGACCCGGTCCCGGAACCGGTTACAACCGGGTCCGACATTTTGGACCCGGTCCCGGAACCGGTGGGACCAGTTCCGGGTCCGGACCCGGCGGATCCTAACCGGTTCCGGGTCCGGTACCGGGTACCCTGGGTCTTTGCTCACCCCTAGTAATATGACATGTTACTACTCTTATAGTTAAGTATTTAATGCTGATTTTTTTTTTTTTTTTTTTTCTCAATGCGTGATGAATTGGGTTTTCAGGAATTTGCATTCTTGATAGTGAACCTGGGGAGATAGTCATGGAAATAGAGATGCAGTGGGATGGTAATCCAAACATTGTGCTTGATGTGAAAACTCATGTTGGTATTGCACTACCTATACAGGTACATTTGTAACCTTTTCAGTTCTTTGCTGTAGGAGTAGCCTTTACGATGATAATATGATGCGTTATATACTGAAGTACACTATATAATTGTACGAGCACAAGTTTTTTATACACCGAAATGCTCATGTATGAGCTTACATCCTCAATTGTCTCTCCTTCAAAACCCCAAATTTATATCAAAGAAGAGTTAGGAACATAGGATAGCACGATTTAGAAAGTTTTGATCCAGTCATTGTGACCTTATTTTCACAGGTTAATTACTGTTTATTGAAATCTTCTGCATATCTTTTTTTCTAAATAATTCATATCTTCATAGTTTGGATTCTTTATTGTTTCGAATGGTTTCTCACTTGCTCATTGATGTTTTTATTCTTGATGTGCTTATTTAGATTAAAAATATAGGTTTTACTGGGCTCTTCAGGATAATTTTCAAGCCTCTCGTGAACGAGTTTCCTTGTTTTGGCGCTGTATCTTATTCACTAAGAGAAAAGGTAGGGGTTTTTGTTTTGGATATCTATATATATTATCTCTATTATTTTGTCTTTTCTGCGAGGACCTTTATCCTTATATGCCTTCCATTATAAATGGGAGATGATATATTGGCATCTATATCAGAAAATTTACAAATGAGAAATGGATATTAACATTTCAAAAAAGTTGACTCAAAGTTGAGCATTTTATTAGGTTCGTTGATTTTCTGTCAATTGACCCATCTGTTTGATTCAACACAGAAAGACTTGGATTTTAAACTTAAAGTTATTGGTGGTGACATGTCCATGGTTCCAGGACTTTCTGATTCCATTGATGTAAGAAATTATTTTTTCTGTAAATTATGCTTCTTGTTGGTTTGTTGCTGATCTGTTGAATAGATCCTGCTATCTTTTGAAAATTGTGTAGCATCAATGTTCTTTGTTATGGTTTTTGCTCAACTGAATCTCTTAGTCATGCATTATTATGGTTTTTGGCGTGTTTAAAGTGTATTTATGGGAAGCCTATTCTTTTGGTAGAGCAAAATTAAGAGAAAATCGCTGTCAATTCATCAGCAATTTTATTGAACTGTGAGGTAGTGTGGGGTACATACGGCTTGGGGTTTAGGGTTACAGTTTCTTGGAATCCTGTCTTCATAAATTGTGTAATGCACTACCTGCATTATAACTTAATACAATAGAGGAGCATTGAGAGAAAGAGAGTTTTTTTGCCCTACATGTTTCCTGTTTAGTACTCTGTAATATTAGTACCAATAGCAAAGTACAGTTGTTACCCTTTTGTATGTCACTTCTTTAACTACCCTTTTTTGTGTGTTCGAGTCAAGCTACATTAGCTACGGTTTTGTTTACCACTTATTTAACTTGCCATCAGTAGTCTTTTTTATAAAATGATAGCTATATTTCACACAGATGTTTTCCATAGGGCCACTAGGGGTCCTTGGGAATCATATTTTCTATTTTATGGGTATAAGCTTTTGTATAGGACAGCCTTCCCAGATCATTCCAATTACAAGGGCTACGCTTGCGTGTTATTCTTGCTATTTCCATTGTCGTGTTTAGATCCTATCCTGTCACCATAATCCTGACTTTACCATTTCATTATCCCATGCCTCCCGCGAGGATCAGACAGTCAAGCACTCAAGCCTAGAAGCACAAGCAGCACTGTGAAAATGGCTTAAGATTTTTAGTATTAGGCATGAACAGTTAAACTATTTCATAGCTTTTTTAAAAATAAAAAAATACTTCTCATTTTCCTTTTTTTTTTTTTGTGGGACAATGATATTGGCTTAGAGTTGTTTTCATTAGAGCTTGACTACAATCACATATTCACATAGCATGCATGTACCTTTAACTATGTCTAGAAATTTCAGTAAGATATTCTGTTCAATCCTTGTGATTAGAAGGTAAAAAAAATAAACAAAAAAAATATATAAAAACTCATTAGGCTGATCATAATTCTTTCTTTGTTGAAAACATTTTTAAACTCATTGTTTTTCTGTTCCCTAAAAGTTTCTTAATTTGATTGTTTTACATTATTGTATAGGATGTATCATGTATGTAAAGCCTTACACATTTACTTCTAAGCTACTGAGCCGTACAACCTGAAAATCTGGCTATAAATTTGCAGGAAATGATAAGAGATGCTATAGAAGACTCTATAACGTGGCCAGTTCGTAAGATAATACCAATTATACCTGGAGATTACAGGCAAGTGCTGTTTGCTCTTAATGTTCTCTTTTGAAGGCTTCATCCTCATTTCCTTTTTCTTAAAAATAAATAGGTTAAAGAATAGAGCTTATGTCCGTAAAATTGTTCAAATGAACCCATCAATCGTTTATCTAGTGTCAATAGTAAAGTTCAAGAGACCTTAACTAAGGCGCTGCATATAAAATTGGCTATGGACAGCCAAAAAATGTAACCATATTGAGATGATGACCGATTGAAAAAAAAAAGGCTTTGGAATGTTTATTTTTTTCAAACATAAATTGAATCTTTGGAGGGGAATTTGCTTTATTGAAAGCTGAGTTTGATGATAGTTTTGTGTGTGAACTTTTTCTCGTGCAGTGACTTGGAATTGAAGCCTCATGGAATATTAGAGGTGAAACTGGTGCAAGCTAAAGATCTGTCAAATAAAGATCTCATTGGGAAGTCTGATCCTTTTGCTTCCTTATTCATACGCCCATTACGTAACAGAACCAAAAAAAGTAAAACTATTGTAAGTTTGTGTTCTATTCTCTACTCTAGTTTCAAATGTTTTATTTTATCTTCGATGACTTTGTAGCATTTCTTCAGAGCAATCAACTAAATCCAATATGGAATGAGAGTTTTGACTTCGTAGTTGAGGATCCAGCCACGCAACATTTGACTGTTAGAGTCTATGATGATGAAGGTCTTCAGCCTCCTCAACTTATTGGCTGTGCACAAATACCAATTAATGTGCTTGAGCCTGGTAAAGTGAAAATTGAATGGTTGAATCTTGTCAAGGACCTGAAGGTTCAGAGGGATAAAAAAAATAGAGGTCAGGTAAGGAACCTGTCTCACAAATCTTTACTGATTTCCTTTCTATTAGGTTTTTGTATATGAACAACGTAAAAAGTCAGAAAACTAATGGAAATGAAATTAAATTGTTTCCTGTAAGTAGGAGGTGAAAACAGAAGAGAGTGTTTGCTAAATTTTTTCAATGTTGTATCAAATTGCTTCTCCACATTTTTTGACATTGTGTTCAGCAACCCAATAGCTTGTGAACTTATTTATTTATTTTTAAATTATTGGTTTATCCTGCTCATATATTATCTATTATTTTCGGAGGTGCAAGTCAGTGAAATTTAGTTTCATTTTCTTATCTGATACTTAGATTTTTTTTTTTTTTTAAATAAGGTAGCAGGATATAAAAGTATAATGAATGAGAATGATTGAACTACTTAAGAGTAGAGATATTGAAATCATCTGTTAGAAGTATATTGGTGATAGTATACAAGATTTGAAATACAAATGTTTCCTATTTTTGGTTCAATCCTCTCAATTCTTAGTTTCTTGCCTTCTTTTATAAACCTCGTGGTGAGGCTTTAGAGAAGCTTGAGAAAGAGGAGACTTAATTTTCACTTGGCTTCTTTCGGAATGCAGGTGCATCTGGAGCTCTTATATTGTCCATTTGGCACTGAAAATCAGATTCTAAATCCTTTTTCCTCTATTGTGCCGCTGACGGATGTGGAAAGAGTCTTGAAAGACACAACTGAGGATGATGTCAGTGATATCGAAAGAAAAACCAGTGAAAAGAAGCATGAGGTCATCCTTCGAGGGGTGCTTTCTGTAACAGTAGTATCTGCAGAAAATTTGCCCGTTATGGATCTGACTGGAAAGTCTGATCCTTATGTGACTGTGTCACTGAAGAAGGCAGGAACAAAAATGAAAACTAGAGTATGTATTCATTATTGATCAGTGTTTGCATTATTGTGCCTTACTGCCTTAATTTATGGCTTGCAGTTGGACTTTTCTTCAGAAATTGCTGCATGCTTAACCAATTTCTCTATTCAATTGCAGGTTCTAAATGAAACTCTAAATCCTGTTTGGAACCAAACCTTTGACTTTGTTGTGGAGGATGCTTTGCACGAACTACTTATTTTTGAGGTGTATGATCATGACACAATCGGAAAGGTAAGTTCATTAGCCTGAAATTTACCGTTTCTTCTACTAGTCCACAAGTAGTTTATTACATTTATCATCAGGACATCAATGCAATGCTCTGTTGCCCAGTTGCTATCAAGTCTCAAGTACCTTATTCACACTGTTTCCAAATTACAGAGTATTTATTATTTATGGTTTTTTTAAAAAAAATTTTACTTACACATATCCTTTGTATAATTACAAGAGTTTTTTTCAGCATTACCACACAGTTGCAAAGAGGATATTTCTAGTTTGCATCGGTTAAAGACTTAAAGTGTGTATACTTCTTCTGTATTGTACGGCAACAAAAAACTTATTTCATGTATCCAATGTTGATGGCAAATTGTTGTTTCATATGATGTTAAATAGTCAGATCGCTCTCTGGAAAATTCAAATAATTTATCTCTATCTAATATTGCAGAATTATATGGGAAGATGCATCATGACACTTACTAGAGTACTGCTGGAAGGGGATCTCTACGACATCTTTGATCTAGACGGAACAACATCCGGAAGGCTAGCCTTGCATCTGAAGTGGACTCCTCAGCCAATAATGAGGGATGTTTAAGTAGGAAAAGCACGACGCTGTGAAAGGAGTGCTCGAAAGGTACACAAATATCAAAACGTTTCCTCGACTTTCCTCCCTCATTTGAGCATATGACTCTTAACAAAAAGTGCAAGCTCAGTTCAACTTCCGTGGAATATATGTTATGGTGAGACCAAGTGATTAAATTTCTGCATGACTCAGGTCATTCTTTGTGGTAAATGATATTTACTGGTATAGATGTAATGACCAGAGATATCAAAAGTTCAAACCCAAACACAGTAGATTATGTACATAGAATTTTATGGAGTTTTTGTTCAATTATTCTTCTGCTAAGGTGATCTGATTTCCACGTCATGTATAAAATTCGATCATATGAAAAATTCGATCATATGAATATAAAGCATTAGTCATACAATGTGCTTTTTCATGCATTAATAAAAAAAATACCCTTCCCCCACCACCCCGCCGGCGCCAAATTCAGCCCCCTTTTGTTGGCCCTCCCACCACCCTTGTCATCACCCCTCCCACTTTCCCCCGAATCACCATCCCCTTCCCAATCCCCCTCATCTCTTTTGACTTTCACGATCTCTAATACAAATCTTTGACTATGTATATATTTAATATAATTTGAATTAAAATAATTTTAAAATTTTGAAATTTTGACAAATCTAACAACATCCAATATACTACGATTTTGATCTATATAATAATTTTTTGGGCAAATTTTAGAAAGGATTTAAAATTGCTAAGAATTAATAAACACATAACTTTAAAACAATATTATTATTGAGTGTTTGATGATTTACATTGGAAGACGGCATTCATATTTATACTAAAATAAGTCTAACATTGGAAATCGTTGAAGCCTTGAAGGATCTTTATACTTGGCCTATAATAAAATAAGAAAACATGTTAAATCTAAAACTTGGGCATAAATCATATAGGAGAAGAATACTGAGAAATTATATCAGTTTTTATTATACCAGTGCTTTTATGATAAAATGGTTGAATTTTTTCGGTCGCCATGTCAAACATACCCATATCGTGGCCACGGACTTCTGTTTCGAACGACATTTTCCAATGATAAGTTTCATCATCAATGAAGTAGATAGTATTTTGGTGGCAATTAGGAGCCTTTGATATATGAAGAGCAATGACAATATTATCACCAAGAAATAACAAATGTTCACCCAGATCCGTAACCTGCTTCCATGAATTAGTTGTGTTACCAACATATTTATAAACTTGGAAATCATAGGTACGATAGCAATCTCCGTTGGACCAACGCTTGGTAATCCTAGTACGTAGACCCCGCTCATCATATTTTAGACCACTCTTCCTATGGCGTAAGACAACAAGCAAATCGCCATCCAATTCCACAATGTACACACTTCCAACTGCTTCGAATTGCAAAACATCGAGGAAAAATAAGGACGTAAAAGTGTTTGGCTTAATGGGATGTTTACCAATATCACAATATGCAAGTGATCCATCCATATACGTGATGACTATTTTCCCATCCCAATCCATGACATCCATAACCTGGCGCTTTTTGCTACATTCTGTTAGTATCGGAGTCCATTCCCGGTCTTCGGGGCGAGCCAACGCTAGATTGTGAAACGGCTTATGTATCACCATCACAAATAAGTCATCATCAATGTTGAGTACCACAGCCTTTTCCACCAAAATTTCTTTGAAGCAGACGATAAGATTTTAACTTACTATGACCTTCATATGTTGGGTAAAATGGCAAGGTGTGTAGGGATGGGAGGCTCAACTTAGCTTTAGTAATAGGATTAAACAACATAAATTCACGGTATACGCCAAGCGTAGCGATCCAGCCATATTTAGAACCCCAAAGAGTTGCGGGAGCTTCAAACCGTAGCATTTATTATTTGCCAAGTGGATGTCCTTGATGATCTAGAACGTGAGCAACTTCCCTTAATCAAGACAGACGATACACAAGGTTTTCCTTTCGTCTTCGCTTTCACTAGGCTCGGCTAACAACAACCAAGGTGTGGTTAATTTATTTTCAACCCACTCCGCTTTCACCATCGACGAAACATGTTTCCATGAATGACATACCGCAGAAAAACTAGCAAAGTTATCGCATGAATCCAATTTCAGGGCTATTTCACCGAGAATATCACAGGGCAATGTTGACCATTCAGCCATCTCAGATTACAAACTCAACAAGCATGTACAACGTTATGTATTAGATTTTACCCTTATTTAATATATATGCAAAACAGGGACTTCTACATGGACTAGGATAAGGAAACCCTTTTTAATGATGCATTTTATACACAAGATAAGAAAAGAATCTTTGATATATTTTTTTAACCTCATTCAAATTAAAAGTAGAAAAAAATATTAGTGTTTCTTCACAAAAAATAATGTATCTTTTTGTAAAAATCAACTGCATATTAGGGATTTTTTTTAACAAAAGATGCATTATTTTAACAAAATGTGTTGATATTTTAACAAAATATGTTGACGTTGAGGCTAAATAATACTAGTAGGATATAACTTTCCTAAAATATTTTTTTAAAATTAATGGTAGTTTTTTTTTGGTAATTTTATTTAACTATTGATTTAATTTAATGGTGGTTTTTTTCTTTTGGGTAGTTTATTTTAAAGGGGTAAAGGAGTATTTTGCAAAAGTAAAATTTATCTTCCAAAACTCTTTTCACTTTATATATACTCAATAGTACTTTTTGACTTAATTTTTAACCATTATAATGTTAAAAAATATTAATAGTACATACTTCGTAATAGATTGTTGAAATAGTTACATAATTACAATGTCTATTTTCAAAACTTTTTAATACAAAATGAAGAGTACTTCGAACTATACACAAAACAAAGAATTGAATGAATCACTAAAATAATAAAGGCTTACACATCATATCATTTTAATTGACTAGCTTTACACAACACCTTAGATCAGTCGTCCGCCCAAGTCCAATTTAGGTAAGATGTGGGAGTTCCTGAAGCATCTAAATATTGGGGGAGTTCATGTGCATCCCTCAATGTTTCAAGTTTTAACAGGATTGTGACGGTTGATATAAGTACCAAAATTGATACATCCCTATCTCAGCCTCCACGTCTTCTGCGGCGAAGGTTGCTGGCCCTAGAATACGAAAAACAAGTATGTGAAATACCTCATTATCTCACTACAACCATACTAAAATATAAAATCCAACTTATTTGCTACCTTTTGAAATGTTACTACTCTAATAATATTGAGCAAAACAATCAGAAAACCCAAATGTCAAATCCAAAAAATAGGTACATGAGTACATCAGAATCGACAACTGATTTCGGAAGGAGTACCAAGTCCAATGATTCGTGTAATAAACCTAATTCGATATGAAATGTAGTACTAATTAATATTAGTAATATATACAATTAGAACTTTCGCATGAAAAATACTACAACGCCTACAAGCTATGAAATCATCATAATGCAGAACTTAAACATATTTTTTTGTAATTTTCTTTTTAGTTATTTGCTTACTACAAGACTCCAATATAAGAAAATTTTGCACTTATGCTCATTAGAAAAGATAATGTATCCCTCCCATAATTCCCTCTTAACTACATCAAGACTTTTTAAATGACTGCATTGGAGATGTAAGCAAGTGTCCAATAGACGTTTACTAATAATTGCTTGCTCAAAAAATACAATTTTTTTAGTTAACTAACTCCCAATATTGTAAAATGATTGCATTGAAAATTCCTACGGAGTAATTTGTTTCATACATTAGTTTTCAACCGAATGGTTCAGTTAACACAGATTATTTCAATTTTTAATTAATTTGGGTATGGATTCCTGACATTCGAGTGTCAAATTCAGGTAGACATATACTTGCTGAATTCAGGTATCAAGTACCCAATCTTAATTCGATTACATAGTGGGTACCCAAAGCCTATGCAGCAAATAGAAACACACCAGATTCAACAAACTATAAAGTATAAACAGATTAAAAGCATGAGTTGTCATCCTCTATTATCCCTTTGTTACCTACCTACACAAACGGACACACTCTCCCTTTCCTCAAGGTATGAAAGTTGACTACAGAATGAAAGACTAGAGATGGGCAGCAACACATACCAGTATTGATTGTGGAATACTGCAAAATCAGTTGGTATACTTTTCCCGTCATCGTTGCGATTCCAATGGTAAATAGCATGGGTTCTGTTTTGTATTTCCAGTGTGGAATGCCCATAACTGGCTTCTCGGAACGCAGAATAGTCAGGTTGTGGATCCCAGAACCTGTAAATTGAATAACCTTCAGATATACAGAATGATCATAAGGGAAGATATCCAAGATGCAAAATTAACCATGATCAGGACTAGTGCCATTCTATATGTTCTGACTTATTATCTTTATTTAAAAAAATATATATAAAAAAAATTGGTGGGAAGCTCAGTCAGTTTGCATTAAGAAATAATGGAATTAGCCTACACCACCCCTCTTTTTTTTCCTGAATAGTCAGAGGGGGTCGTACAGGACAGAGCTACGGTGATTTGCCATTTTCCAGGTTTTTTTTTGTAAAATAAAACCAAAACCTGTTCAGTACAGGATATTTTTGAGTAACAGAACTTCCTAACATGAACTACAAAAGAGTCCCCAGAAGCAACCACCAAAGTGAAAAGCAGAAATCATTAATCAAAGGAATCTCAAGCACAATTCATCATACTTACTTGGCAGCTAGACCTTCTCGATTTCCACCGTCTCCAACGGTTATGTAAACTGGAGCTGCTTTATCAGGTACAGGATATGGATCGCCATTTGTTACATTGTAGTGTATGTTAGACATTCGATACTGAAATCACAAAAAAAAAAAAAAAAAAAAAAAAAAAAAAAAAAAAAAAAACCTTGTGTATTAGGCATCCAGGCTTTTAATTGACCCCCAAGTCCTCAACCCAGGGCTAAAATAGAGAGGAAAAACTTATGAGCAAAACACAAAGGTTTGAGAACCAAAAAAGAGAAATATATAGTTTTTAAGAGAGTTTAAAAAGAGTGGCGAGGGGAAAGAAAAGAGAGGAAAAACTTGTAGGCAAAACACACAAAAAGGTTTGAGAAAACCTTAGCAAGGGAAATAAGTAGTGTTTGCAAAAACACGAGTTCAGTAAATATTAAAATAAAATAAACAACAAAGTATATACAGTATATTAGTATATAAAATCACAATACATCCTCGACAATGCATTTCTCCCTCCACTCCAACCTACCCAACACCATGTTCTGCTCAATCCCCAAAGCACTCATATCACTCTCAATCACCCTATTCCAAGTTTTCTTAGGTCTTTTCCTGCCCCTCACAATCCCATCAATATGCCACTCTTCAAGCCTCTTACCAGAGCCTCACTTGATCTCTGATTTACATAGCCAAATCATCTTAGACTAATAAAGAAAAGATTAAATATGGCTCAGTTACTACCTTAGTTTATTTTTAACACCACCAATTAGCCTATAAAGATAACAAACCATGCTTATCAGACAGAAACAAGGTGCAGACTGAATAACAGTTTTCCCACTTCCCCAAGTAGTTGTCAGTAATTTTGGGAAGCATCTCAAAGTTGTCACTTGTGCTCTTATTATTTCCGCCCCACAACAGTGTCCCATAGAGTTTCTCATTTTACCTCGAGGGAATAGATTCTAGCTGATTGTGACAATTAAATGGGAAAGCTCCCATTGGAGTTAATAATGTTCAGCATGTCCAAAATTAGCAAGCCCTGGCCAATAACTGACTGACCTACACACAGGGTTCCCCTCACTGCTACCCCATGCTGACCCGTCAACAAATTCCAGGCAAATGCCTACTGGGAAGCAAGCACAGTAGTGGCTCTCATGGGATTGAAGCATGGGCTATGGGAAGTTAAAAAAAGGCATGTGCGTAGCCAGCAAACCAAACGTCTTTCATTAACAGACTGTAAATGATAAATTTTATCTGATCTATCCTATCCCACTTCAATCCTAAACCCAAAACAAAAGTTTCCAATGCCTAAAGTCAAGCCATGTAAAATGAGCTGTATGAACCTCCCAACTTCAACAGTTTCAGTTTATTCCATAGCAACTTCAAACCATATTGGAATGTCAGAGCATGAAGTCTGATCAGATGTTTGACCACCCCATTCCCAAGTTTTATTATGGCTATAATTTATAGGTATCTCAGATCTGTATGCTTACAATCAACGAAAGTTTAAAGTTCAATCTTAACATAAAACAGTATAAGCAAGTAAAACATGAGCACTTTATGAAATCCCAGGAATAAAGGAAAAGAATATACATACTGATCTTTCATAAGCATGGACATGGCCAGCAAAGACAAAATCAACTCTGTACTGAACAAACCAGCTCTCAAACACAGAACGCATACTTTCACCCTCCATATAATGGGCTACATTACTGCTGTAAAGAGGGGCATGCATTAGAACAATAAGCCAAGGTGTTTTTTCTCTGTTCACCCTTCGGAGTTCTTCTCTGAGCCACATCCATTGTGGAGTATATTTAACTGTCCAAGATGAAGACAAAGTCATCAACATGTGCAGAGTTTAGAGTCTGGCAAAATCCAAGCATCACCCAAGGAATAATGAACAGCAAATTGAAACAGTAAACCTAGTAGGTATATAGCTCTACAAAATGTTGCAATACCTATTTTCCGGCCGGAAAAACAGGTACACCTTTACAATAATTTATTCTTTCCATGAGAAGTTTGAAAAGTAATTAAACAAACAAAGGCATTTAAGGTTATATAAAAACAAAAGATAAAACAATAATATAACTATAATCATCAGAATCACAAACGGCTGGGTATAAAACATGGAACATATATGATATTTCATCATTAGAAAATTGTATCACTTAACATAATATTTATTAAAATTTCACCTATTATTTCTGATATAGAATGAAAACATTAACACTGACTCCAACCCATTATCTAAAGCCCTAGATCAAAGGCTACATAAACAAACCACCTAATGTTCTATTCATCTTTGCATTTTCACTTTTTTCAAGTTGTTTTTATTTTTTTTTATTTTTATTTTTTCCTTTTGGGAAGGGGAGAGGGGGAGGGGGGGTGGGGGGGAGCCCTATGCTAGCTCAACTCAATCTTGACAGCAATATATGAATTCTTCAAGGATAATGGAATGCCACTATATAA